TAACTATATCCAATAGATAAAGTTAAAGTTCGTAACAATAAAAGAGGGTTATTTATGGCACAACAAAGCATGAATGTAGGTAACTACTAGGGAGGCCTGGCAGTCTGTTTACGACTGGAGTAGAGTTAATGGCCCTTGAACGTCACACTGTATATTTGTCTATGTGGCCAAATATATGGGTAGCGGTACATTTGTAGGCTCATTTAGATTTGATATGCTTCTGTTTATTAATTGGAATATATTTAAAATACCTACTTAGCTCTTGTTTCACCGCATTACCCGAAAATTTATTTAACAATCTATATTCAAAATCAGCATAACGTCTATTTAGACATTTTTTAAGTTTTTTTTTATTTGACTTAGGTCGGCGATCTAAACATCCATTGGCAACCAGCATCAAGGACCCGCAGCACCAGAGATGTCACAAATGGGGACATTGGAGGGGAAGGCTGAAGTCACCATCACAGTCATCACAGTATAACCTAAGTCACACGTTTCGACGTGTGAGTTAGTCGGCGGTTTCGACGTGTGAGTTCTTTATACGGCCAAGCGTTGTTTTACGCCAGTTTTCTGTGAGGCCGTGGTATCAGCCCGATAAAGCGAGGCCAGCAGTGCCGAAGAATGAGTCTCTCAGAGTAGAATATTAATAAAAGCTAAAGTAAATTATTCCATTCTGATAACAACGGCATCGTCAACTTTTCATGTTCCATTTTTGAAAAAGTTCTCTAGAATGAAACGAGCTGCCAGTATTCTTCTGGGGCCCTATTTTTATTCTTACACCGTATTGATCGAGAGATGTAGAAAAAAAACTGTGTCAGGTATTTCCTATTATTTGCAAGTAGAAAGAGGGAAACAAGAGCTGTTGGATGCCATATTTTTCTCTTACCATTTTGTATTTTAATATTGAACATTGCTTTTTGAAAAGGGTTTTTTCATTGGCTGCCGATGAATGAGTTGTAAGCACCTATGCTTGTTGTTTGCTTGTCAATGTTTTTGCTTTTAACATATTTGTAAACTAAGGCCTAGACCTCTTGCATCTCACGTCAATCAATGGCATGTGCCTATCGATTCATCATCATTCATATTTGCATCAAAAGGTCATATATGCAAGGCTCTTTCGTCGCTATAAGAGCAAACATTATCGTTGACTTTGAAATGTTGAAACATTGAGTTGAACCGAAATGAACCGAGAAAAGCTCGTCTAGTTTCAGGTCACAAAGGAACTCTTATTAATGAGCAGCGTGTGCGTTGTTTTTAAAAGTGCGTCGTTTTAAGTAGCATGTCTCACGATAGTTACTAGAGTAAACTGAGCTATGTTGTTGTATGAACACCATAGCCAGTTAAACCCTCAATAAACAAACTTTATGTCACATACAACTAACTAGTCCGTGTTAAATGTCCTAAGTAGTGACAAGACTTCACGCAACTTTCCCTTAAGACTTAGTGCCGCTGTACTGTCTGGAAATTAGCATCTGTTTCATTCCGTTGCTATGTTTAGGTTAGTGTTTATGTGTATAAAGTTGTGTTTATCAATGCAACAACTTTGAATAATTCTGATTTACTTTTAAAAAGGTCTATTAGATAAATTTTATTTTCAAGACAACCCCCCAACTACATTTTATTTGCAAAATAAACAGTGAGTACTATTCAACACAAGTGTGTTTAAACGGAAATAAATTTTATGACAATTAAATACTCGTATAGAAAAATGACAAATGTCAATGTATGACATTTTTAAACGTCAAAAAATTTATAATACGACTTGTAAGACACATAAGCTACCAGTACATTGCGAAGATTTATAAAATACAATAACTTTTTTTTTTAATAAAACGTTGCCCCACAGTAGGATTTTCTCCTATGTCGTGGGTGATTTTACAAACATACAAATTCACATACACATCGCACCCAGACCCGAAACAACAATTTGTGGATCACACAAAGAGTTGTTCCGTGCGGGAATCAAACGCGCGACACGTTGCACGGCAGCCAGTTGTCCAGCCACCGCGCCAACCGTGCAGTCAATTTAATTTTATTCTGGGTTATTTAAATGACTGATTCAAGACAATAAAAATATATGCTGGGAAGCCACGAACAAAAAGGTGTTTACTCCATTATTGTTGCCTATTCTTTCTAGCAAAATATACAAAAAAAAACAAAATATTTTGTGCAACAAAGTTGTGCAGAAATGACGCGTTGTTCAACTAGTTATTCAGAAAAACTGGTCAGTTATGTCACATACTGCCTGACCCACTACAGACTGTTATGTGTTATGTACATCTTATTTTCTACTAACACACAAAACTAGAAATTTTCGCGTCTCCAATGTATTTGTATTCATTGGCCAAGTTTTCTCTTTGGAGGTCGCCGATCAACTATAACTATAAGATGCCAGCGGCTTAGCCCATGTTGACAAAAAGCATAATCATATAAGGTAGGTTCAAGGTAAATACCAAAATTCAACCAAATCTATCCAGTAGTTTTTGCGTAAAAGGATAACATAAATACATCCATACATATATTCGAGAGGATTTATTCGAGATATAGTCTAGTTAGATCTATCCAGTAGTTTTTGAGTAAACTATTGTGAACGTAATTTTTTGTCCATACAAAATTTTGTCATTTTGTTAATAAAACCTACTGTTACTAAAAAACGTTACTATCTACCTACTTATCTATTACGTACTTATAAGTATGAGTGTAAATACCTACACAGACTTCGCTATTTGTGTTAAGAATTTCCCTATTACATACGTTGTTATTGCTCAATCGGAAAATCTAAAGCCTAAGTCACTAGTGAAGCCATGTTTGTTGCAAAAACGAAATATAATACTAGATAAGCCTTTTAATCGTAGATAAGAACTAAATAGTAATTATTGTAACATCCTGTTTTGTCAAGAATTCAAGACAATCGAAAATCTTAAAATAAAAAAACGCAAGACTTGGTGAACGGTAGACTAATATGTATATGTTTCCAACCAATACATCAAAGACCCTAATCAAAAAGAAATTAACAGTTAATTGAACCAATTTTAAAAGATATTTTCACCTACATGTAACACACGTACAGGTACGAGTATATTATTTAGCGAAAGAGAAAGCTATACGATCTATCAACACTCCACGCGGTGTTGCGTAACCGTCGTCATCGCACAGATGCGTACGCGCAGCCTTCGGGCGTTCGCGCCAAATGACAAATCGATTCCGTTAATTCGCTTTTTGAATGTATGCCTAATTATGTTCTATGGAATCTAAGTAATTATGCTACAAGATTTTGCGTGAAGTAGGTGATTAAATGTTCGAAGTGAATGGTTTAGATATCTTTGTTTTTGTTTTGTATATATTGTTGTTTTTGGTTTAAAATCTTCCTTTACAGCCAGTAATATTGTAAGTATGGGGCAAGAATACGTTCACGATTTATTCATCGCTAATACCTACATTAGCTGCAAAAGTTTAAAAAAAAAACACTAAGTAGTATTAAGTAGGACACTACCAGATTATATGTATTCGAAAAACGAAATTATAGGTGTACCATCGTCTAGATACGTTTTTAATATCCGGCTTCCTTTTTCCTTAACCAAAATCGGTGACATAACTAAAACAAGATGGCCGAATCTCGTCAAATCACTAAACTTCCGCGCTTTGTGAAATGTCCGGGCAGATTCTAGAGTCTAACTAATTAATCATAGATTGAGAAATTTAAAAGTTGATTTGGCATTCAAGATGATGCAGGTTGGACTTCAATATTAAATTTATGATTTGTATATCCTTTAGTAGTAAATTTTAATACTATATCTGTAGATAGCGATTATTTTAAGATCGTTTGTGTGAGATAAATGGTTTCTTTTCTTTCTTTCTTTCTTTCTTTCTTTCTTTCTTTCTTTCTTTCTTTCTTCCAGATAAATTTCTATGTCAATTTATTAATCCTATATACAGGGACTTAATTCTGGATAGACAGTGATGAGCTTTTCACCAACCGCATGACTACTATCAGCTAGCTACTATTAGATAGCAGGAATGCAATGTGTAGGTACCTGATATTATTGTATTACGATATTATCTAAACAATGCGGTTATGTCGGCTTGAATACTGATAATGCATACTTGATATTAAGCTCGAAGGCTTTGTGCTAAGGCCATACTTAGTGTACATTTCCTTTGCTAATAAACTAATAAATATGAAAACATAGATTTGAAGACTTCTGTGAGGGTTGAAATTTGGGGTTACTATTCCCGCGCTTTATCCAAAATGGCTATAATAATTAATATCTAGGTATGTTGACAAAGGGATTTAATAAGCAAGAGATATTTAATTAAATAATGTCTTTTTGTCGTGGTATAGGCATGTTTCTAGAAGGATAAAAACCATCGTCTATGTAGATACCCCGTCAGGAAGGAGTGTCAGACTCTTACTAACTAAAAATATCCCGTTAATCCTACTCCAGGCTGGGGCCTGTTCAAGATTAAAGTAAGGTTTGTTAGGTAAAAAAGAAAAGGTTGGTAAGTACATCAAGTTTAAATAAATTAATGGAGTAGAATTACGATAAGGCGTGGTAAAATTTTCAAGCTAGATAAGACAATGCATAAGATATTGTTCGATAGTAATTTATAATTACCTAGTACTACATATATTATTATTTGTTGCACACCTGCGCAGGTGGTGTTTGTGGCAACATTACATTGTTTGACAGAAGTCCAGTCTGATTAAATATATTTAGCTAAACCAGTGCGCAACATCAATGCTCATTCGATTATTTTCAAATAGATAGATTAGATTTTCGAGAAACATTTCGGGAAAACCATTAATACTCTTTTTGTGAGGGGAAAGTCATCTGTGTGTAGTATCTCGCATAGGGTGGGGCGTGAGGGAGTGTTAGACTCCTACTGAATAAACACCCCTCCGATATATCTCCTGCTCTAGGTGCCGCGGTGCCTAATTGCGCTTGCTCCGCAACCCTGACTGAAAAACCATCAAGACTATGATACAAATAAGGTCTTACCTTAAAGAAGATTCCGAGGTAATATTTCTTCTCTCCAGATTTGAGTAGAGGCATTGTCCACCGCGTCACGCCAAGGTCGTCATCGTTACAGCTTGAACATTCTGTGAACAAGAAGAAATCATTATGTTAAATGGCGCATCACTTATAAATAATATTGTCAAATGAGTAAAGGAAATGTCAATCCATTCGTCAAAGACGATGAATGTAAATTAGCAGTATGTTTCATCAATCGATATAAAAGGAAGGACAGCTTAATTAATAAAATTGAAAAATGCGATTCGTATCCTTGTCTGCCTAAACTAAATGATCCAAATCCAATCAAATAAATGGATTAAAAGATTTATTTTGGAAATCTAATCAAGTTAATCTCCAATGCGACAGATGTTTTATCAATGCAGGCAATTATGTAGAATCAAATTGATTCATAAGAATTTGAATGTTTCCGAAAATTAGTAGTATATAGTTCGATTTTATGAGGTTACGTTTCCATAAATATGTGTTCTAATTTTGAATTTAAAAAATGTCAAAAATTTAATGATGTTCTAAAAAGTTTAATTATAAATTACAATAGTCCGAATCAAAGGTTTAATAAGGAACACAATTTTAGCATTTTGATTGATTGCTTTAGTTTGAAAGTATTAAAAATAAAAAGTTTAAATATTTTACTGGTGATCTTTTCCTCGAGTTTCCCTAATAAATAATCTGATGTAACAGCTTATCAATTTACTTTAATGACTAAGGAGATCAGATATTTATTTGACTAACGATTCGATATTAAAAGGAATCGATTTGGAAAAACGATGCGTTATCGATTTCGTAATTCGACCTTCTTCAATGTAATAAAGTGATGTGTTTGATCGTCCGAGATTGCGCGAGTGTAATGGGACATAAATGACACGTTTATGGCAACTTGTTATAATGACAAAGTACAGTAAAGCTTTTTTATGTAATAGGATGGCAAACGAGCAGACGGATTACCTGATGGTAAGCAATCGGTGCCGCCCATGGACACCCGCAACACCAAAGAAGTCACGAGAGCGTTTCTGGCCTTTTGGGGACAAGGGTTTCGGATATTTAAGGATTGGGATGTCATGGGTGGAGGGGGATGGATTGGGCCTCTGTTAACCTCGCTCACATGGCGAAACACAACGCTGTGGTTGTTTCACGTCGGTTTTCTGTGAGGCCGTAGTATCGCTCCGGTCGTGCCGACCCATTCGTGTCGAAGCATTGTTTTCTACAATTAGCCCCCAAGTGTTTCTGATACCTTAGTACCTGTATGCGATACATACGCCTAATAATAGAAAGTTTGTATGTAAGAGAATTATTTTTGTTATTATCATGTTATAGTTTTGTTTGTTGTTGAGTCTGTTTTGTGGGTTATGTAATAATGATTGAGTTTCTATGGAACTACGGTTACGATGTACGTAATCACGTAGTTAGGTGATGTGTAACATGCAACCGTATGTTTTGAATCACAGGGATTATTTTGTGAAGCATGATAATGCATAATTCAGTTCAGTTCGGTATTAAAGTTGTTAAGAAATACAGTTCATGTTGGTTTTCTTATTGTTTTTTTTTTTGAAGATGGTATATTGTCTATGTATGTCTTGTCGTATGGAATATTTAAGTGTGGGAGAGCCAAGCTTCGGCACGAATGGGTCGGCTCGTACGTAATACTACTACTACTGTCTGTCTGTCTGTCAGTCTTTTCTTCACGCATAAACTACTGAACCGGTTTCTGTGAAATTTGGTACAGACATAGTTTGAAACTCGAGAAAGGACATAGGATATATAATTTTTATACCAAAAATCTGCAGGAAGTCACTATTCCACGCGAACGGAGTCGCGGCCATGACTGATTCAGGTAATTTTATTTTTTTTACTGAGATCTTGGTAGTACTCCAGTCTCCTGGTTTCCTTTACATTAGGGTTACATGCCCTATATAAATAAAATGATATAGAAGAGCCAAAGGCAAGTTAACAAGGTCAACAAGCTCATTGTTCTTCCCGGATACACCTCCTTACGTGAAATACTATATAGTTACCGCCGCGGTTTCGCCCGCGTGGTATGTTGAAAAAAAAAACAGCCAATATGTTATTCTCTGTCTCCAGCTGGGGTTGCGGAACTAGCGCAGTAAGGTACTTACGCGTTCTTGGCCTAAAGCAGGAAAAGGAACGCGGGAGTTTTTAGTCAGTAAGAGTCTGACATTCCTTCGCGCCTCATCCTGGGCGAGGAGAAGTCATTTGATCAATATCCCTTCAAAAAAAAAACTATCTAAATACCTCAACTAAATTCGCCCAACTGTTTTGAGTAGAAGAATAAAAAAAATATATAATCTCACAAACTTTCACATTAATTTGTAATATTAGTAGGATGAAAATGGCGGTATTTTTGAGACTATTATGTAAAAAACTATGACGTCATTCCTTACATTTTTTTAAATTGCCATACCAGGCCAATGAAGTATCATTTTGGTTCAATGCAAGACTTATTCTGTCAATAAACCTATAATAAATTAGCTACTCTCGCGCGGTTTCACCCGCTGCTCACTTATTTGATCCTAGTGTGATGTTTTATAGCCTATAGCACTCAGGAACATCTTAGCTATCTATCAGTGAAAGAATTTTGGCAATCTGACCAGCGGTTACAAAGATTACCCCCTACATACAAACTTAGAAATTTTACCTCTTTATAATATTAGTATAGATTACCATGCCATACCATGTCAGCGAAGTATCATTTTGGTTCAATGCAAGACTTATTCTCTCAATAAACTTGTAACAATACAACCTATGACGGATGAAAAACTGGCTATGGTCGTTTTTGCTTCGATTTTTTTCAGTAACTCTATCAGCATTTTGCCACTGAAACACTAGAGGATTTAGTGAAACTCGAACAAAAACTGCTTTCAGACTCAGTTTAATGCAACGTTTTCAGAGTATTATGAAACATTGGTATTTTGTATGTTTTAAAAAAACTGATATTTTTTTCAGCGGAAAATCATTAGAAAACTTCTAAAGGCCCTGTGTGGGGCGAGAGAATGAGTCTCCTACTCTGACCCCGTTCCGTCTTCTGTTTCAGGTTGGGGCACCATACATATTTTGCTTAACCCGAAACCCCGAATATACCTATGTATAATATAACAATGGGACTATTTTTTATTAGTCCCATTATTATATTATGTATAATAGACGTAGATTAACAATATAAAATAGGATGCGTAGTTTTAAAGATTTAAGCGTACATATAGGGACAGAGAAAATCGACTTTGTTTTATACTATTTAGTGATATACACAATGTAAATTTAACCAATTGTACCTTTTTATAATACACCTATTATTATCACTACTATATATTACTAGACTATATTTCCTTTATGATAAAGAATTAATTAAATAAAAGCAATATTAAAATGGCTTGACCATGACTTAAGTTGAAGGATTGAGAAATCCATATTGATGAACATTCGTACCGAGTATTATTTTTTAAATCGACATGCGTATAGTTTTATTTCATTTTTTTTAGAATTGAAATTGGAACCACATTTTGTATGATCCACAAATTGTTGTTCCGTGTCTGGGTGTGTAATGTGAAATTGTATGTTTGTAACCGCATCCACGACACTAGCGGGGGGCAATATTATTTTTTAAAAGTCTTTTAAAATTATATAAAATGGGATGCTTAGTCATTGATAAAATTATTAAAATATTCTTATCAAGGTATGTGGCCTAACATCTAGCGTTCCTATTAAATACTCAAGTAACCTTTTCAAACAAGTTTTTATATGTTAAACAGTTTTCTGAGAAAACTAAAATGTGTGTGTTTTTGAGCCAAATTACAAGTTAAAGATGTTTCAGGCTATAACTGACTAAAAATCTCCCAGAAACGCGGCTTCGGCCTAGAGCAGGATAAAAACAGGGTAGTTTTAGTCAGTTCAAAATTTCCCCTCGACTCAATACGTGCGAAAGAAGTCATTGGATAATTTTCCTCCCTCAAAAAAAAAGGCTAGCTCCCTAAAGTGAACCCTACTAGGATACCAGTAAGTACGCACTAAACACATATGTTGTAGGTTCGTTAATCCACCAAACCCCAAGCGAACGTCGGCGTTCGCACACCTATTGTTATTCTATTGTGGCTCGAACTACCACCATTGAAAGGAAGTGAAGTTAAGTACCTATTCGCAAGAAACTCATCTATCCATATTACAATCGACAATGTAAAATGAATATAAGTATGTGCGAATAGTTAAATTGTGCCTACAAATAAGTACATGATAAAATATATGCACAACTTACTCTTACAGTTAGTTAGACATAATTGCTGTTACGTATTTAATATCTTTTTAATTTCAATCCAACAAAAGCCCTCAGGCGAAACCAAATATTTGAGTGCCCACACATACCTATCGATTAAAACGAAACTCTAATTAAATTCTTATATATAAATAACTCTTGGGTTCTTGAAATTTCTTTTATGATCCGTACATAGCCTTATGACCATAACACCCGCTTATAATAATGGTTTCTTGACATTTAGTACTAGATATATGATGTATGAAGAAACTATGGACAAAGGTCAACTATTCCGTTTATTTTTGTTTCAAAATATTGTAGGTAAACAACCATTAGGATCGTAAAGTATTTTGTCGGACATCGAGCATCTAAGGTCATCGATTTGTGTCAGTTAAGTGTTTGAGTTAGAATTAAAAATGGCGCGTTTACGCATTCAATTTTGATGTAATCCGCCATTTAAAATTTGCGGTCAAATTATTGGTACATGAATGCCGTTTTTAATTGACGTGCCAATATTTTTTTAAGTAAAGAAAGAACTGTCAAATTCTGTGTAAACACACGCGTTTATGTGGCCAGTCTTAATTTTTTTTCTACAATAGGTTCTCATTAAAAATCTTTAAAATATTCTCTACATTGTATCACGTGTATTTTTTTCATATTTCGTGTTCACATAACGCATCTTTATATTGATTGATTGATGTCTTGAACCACACCTTGAATTGTTTTTGGATTCGAAAATAAGAAGTGCAATGCATTGTATTCAATGATAAAGATTTTTTATTGTACTCGCGCGTACGTGATTGTATT